GACACCCTGTAGGGATGAAAGAGAAAGTTGGAAAGGTGAAAAATGGGCATAAAAGTATCAATTTCAGCTTTGCATGCTGAGAAATGGTGCCCTGGGAGTGAATGTAATTTCTAGTAAGGCTATTTTGTGCATATTTCTGCAATTGTAACTGATCTGTGATGTAATTTCTAGTAAGGTTATTTTGTGCATATTTCTGGAATTGTAACCGATCTGTACAATGGGTTAAGAAGATTCAAAATAACCCCTCCAGGGATCATGTTCCTTCATTTGAGGAGCTGGTTGATCTTTATAAAGCCTTATACCGAGGAGCCATTATTTGTAGATGTAATATGTAGGAAAATGAGAAGAAGAAAAAATTTATATCTCTATTAATGAGATTTTATGGGCCTTCTCCAAAAAGGATTAAGGGCAAAAAAGATTATAGTGTACATGCCCCCCCATTAAGGGCAATAAAAATATTGTAATGTGCTCCTTATCTGTGAATACTATATCTTGATAGGATTTTTTTCTTCTAATCATTAGATTATGAATACACAGAAAGCCTAAGGTGAGAAAATAAGGTAGGGAGTGTTGGCTCCCTTAATCATTTTGAAGGTTTAAAGCACCAAAGGAGGTTGAACCTCTCATATTAGTACAATCCAAAGAACAGGCTTTCATCTAGCTTAGGACACAGTGAAAATAAATTGGAGTGATTTTAAAAGGAGAACATGCCCAAACTCTTAAGAGTACCCATCCTTTGCTCATCTTAATTAAAAGCAATAACATAAAATTGAATTTCTGGATTAGACTATCTGAGGACTACATATATCAGAGTTCCTTTGCCTGGTTTTTGTGCTCAAATGTCCAACAAGGTATAAGTGAAAGGGTGGAAAAAAAAAAAAACAAAAAAACCTTGATCTATAGTCTTTGGGACTTTTTTTTTCAAAGCCACCCACCTATATATAGGAGAGACTCACCATCTGGAATTTGTATTCTTCACAACTTTCCATAATCCATAGATTGATTATGGCCCTGTGTCATATTTTTGGTCTTGGTAAGTTGCAATGGACCACACACCTTCTCAGGCACAAATATTTTCGCACATTTTTCCACCTCAGAGCTATCTTTAGTAGACACATTTGCCTGGGATTGATATAGTTGGCAAGAAGTAGATCTTCACAGCTTCCCCCCACATCCTGGTAGCACCCAAATTAGGTTCGCAGACTAAATTTTTATTTTTACTCCAAGATAGTTGAGACCAAGGTCATACTAAAATGGAATGTCCAGAAAAATGGAAATTATTTACTTCTTAAACCTTTGGGGGTAAAAATTCCATTCCATTTGAATAATGAGAGATAAAATATGTCAGTGTTGTTCCATTTCTGCTTTATTAATGATTTGGTATATCTACAAAGACAATAAATTATAGAGAAGGTTTATAATGATTATTCGGACTATTTTTGTCAGGTACATTTTCATAAACTGCTATTTGTTTTTTAAAAAATATTATATTAAAATAAATCCTCGGTCTTTGTTTTTCTATTCTGTTCTCCCTTAACAGAGCAATAGGAAACATTTCCTTTTAACAAATCTTTTCTTTTTAAAAAATGGTGTGTTTCTATCAAATATTAATACATAGTACATACACCAGCAGATTAACTTTTAAAAATACAAAAGTTAAAGGGCCACGAAAATCAACTACGTTGTATAATGATAAATAAAAAAAAAATTTGAAATAATAAAAATATAAAAGTTAGATCCATCCTGTAAAACATATGAATCTCCTAGGAGGCTGCCCAGTTAGCTCACTTGGTTAGAGCATGGTGCTGGTCAACCGCAAAAAAAAAAAGAGAAAAGAAAAGAAAAAGAATCTTCTAGGACGCAGATAAGCAATCTTAGAAATGAGTTCAGAGTTTCTTACTACCTTTCTAGCACAGATTGTTACTCAACCAAAAGAACAGTTTTTGCAAGTCTGTTTATATGTAATGTGTACTTTTGTAATGCTGCAAATGAATACAACCAAATGTAGCCATAGAACCAGGAAAAATCCTACTATTTGCCAGGCAGACGAGTTTATTCACAACTGGCATGCTTATAGACGTCTGTGGGCACCTTTGTGGGCTTCCCCTAGTCATCATAGTCTATCCTGCACACTTCCAGACCTTTTCCCTATGCTTTCTCCATAAGTGGTTCATCAGAGAACTCATGAAAGCTACCCCAGATCTGAATCTGCAGGAAAGGATGGAAAACTTGGGAGGACAGTCTCACTCAGGACATCCCCAGCTGGCCCCTGATGTTAGCATCAAACAGAGGCAGCATGAGGACAGTCCTCCTCTAGGTCCCCCCGTGGTCACTGCGTGAACTGATATTATCCTACATGGTAATGTCTCCTAAGTCCATGTCTGTGTCTTCACCTTTCTCCCGAGCCCCCGAGCTTTATACCAGCTGCATGCAGGATGTCTCCATCTTGGACATTTTACGTCATGCCTACAACTCGATGCCTCCTTCTCCCATGCCACCAGATCTGCCCCAGTGTTTCAGGTCTCACCATCCACAAAGTTGCCCAAGCCAGAAACGGGAGATTCAGCTGGAGTGACCACCTGTCCTGGTTCATCCAGGACTTCTCCTGATGTCTCATTGAAACCCTGGGAAGTCTTTCCATCCCAGGCAAACTGGGACAGTTGGTCATCCTGGAGTTAATGGAAACACTGCCCTCTCCCTACACCACATCCAGTCAGTCACCAAGTCCTGTCAACTCTAGCTCCCTTTAAGATCTCGCAGCTCAATCCATCTCTCTTTTCCTCACTCCTACCACTTTTGGTCATGACCAGGCTGCTTTCGTTTCTCACCTGGGCAGTCATAGCAGTATCCTGCCCATCTCACAGCCGCTACTCCCATCCCATTCACCCTGTGCAACCAGAGGGACCTCTCTAAAGAGCAGATCACATCACTCATGCACACACATGCACACACATGCACACACATGCACACACATACCAGAGGGACCTCTCTAAAGAGCAGATCACATCACTCATGCACACACATGCACACACATGCCATGTACACACACGCCATGTACACACACATATGCACATACACACACATGCACACACATGCCATGTACACACACATATGCACATACACACACATGCACACGCTGGAGCTTAATCCCTTTTTGTGGGTCCTCTTTGCCTTTGTGATAATATCCAAGTATCCTGGCATGTCACTCAAGGCCCTTCCTTGTCTGACCCCTGCTTAACTTTCTACCTTCATCTTACTGCTTTTTTTGTTGTTGTTGTTAACAAATTTTTTACCAGTTTATTATAAAGGATATGATAAAGGACACAGATGAACAGCCAAATGAAGAGGTACATTGGGCAAGGTCCCAAAGGGTACCTGGCTCAGTAGCTTCTGTTCCTGTCCCGGTGGAGCTGGGATGTGCCACCCTCCTGGCATGTGGCTGTTCGCCACCCAGAAGCTCTCCGTACATTAGCGATGCTTAGGGAGGCTTTGTTACAAGGGCACAGTTGGTTGTTACTCAAACTCCAGCTTTTCTTACTTCTGTGGAGGATGGGGTGGGACTGAAAGTTTCAGGCTTCCCACAGCTTGGTCTTTCTGGTGACCAGCCGCATCCTAAGCTATCCAGGTGTGTAGATTCTCACTGCTTTCTTCCTCCGTGATGTGGGCTGAATGCACTGCAGGTTTTTCAAAGGCCACACTCGCTCACTCAC